TCTCCCCGTCTCTCTCTCTCTCTCAATACACACACACACACACACACACACACACACACACAAACACCTAGAATGTTAGAGTCATGCATTTTACTTAAGTAACTCCTTTACTCACATGTAAAAAATTTTTCTTGAGATGGAGTTCCCATTTTTTTCAGATTTCTCTCAAAAGAGAAACCTAATTAGTGCAATTTATATTTTTTACATGTATCATTACTTTTATTCTCATTTATTATGCCCAAACATGAAAATAAAGACATAAAACACATGCACAAAATAAAATTCAAAGCTGAAAATAAATGGTTTATTTTTAAAATAAACAAATTTACAAATCAAATAAAAAATGGAAAATACAAAAGTTTATGAATAAAATAAAAAGATAATCTTAAATATTAAAACCTATGGAAAGAAAATGTATAATTAACAAGTGGAGTGATGCTTTTGTTCCCCAACACAATGGAATGCTTATTTATTAGAATCCTGGAGAATCATCTAAGTTATAATACAGAAAAGAATTAAATAAATTTTATATTATTGTGTAATTAGACATTCTATATCATGGTCCTTTGTTAACTTGGGTGCAGAAGGTCTTTATATCCCATATCTGAAACCATTAAGGTTTATTTTTTTTAACCTTAGAGACATGTTCTTTTGTTTTGCCTTTAACATGAGAAAGAAAATTCTTCCTGCTTTCTAAATTATGTTTCCCCATCTCCTTCAAATATTCAGTATTAGGCATCTTCTGGGACATAAAAAACAAACAAAAAATCTTGAAAAATTATCTTAGAATGAGACACATCATGGAAATTTGAGATGCTTTTGATTTTAGCATTTAGAAAAGCTCAGTACCAAAGACAAGAATATAAATAGGGGGAAAATGTCAAGATGTTCCTAGGGGCACAGAACAGCCTTTAGGATAAATATTAAATTCAAATGTGCAAAAAGAATGCAGTATTGGCAAGAGAATGGACCCTTGGTGATGGGCCCCCCGCCCCCCATTTACCTAAAGCTAATGCAAGAATTTGAAATACAAAGGTTATCTGGAGTCAAGTTTCTCCTGGTCTTGTGAATGAAGGATTGATAGGAGGAGTAATTGTGGTTTGTAGCAAGGAAAAGCATTAATAAGGCTAAAAATGTTAGGTTCCAGAATGACTTCTAGAACAGTTTTATAGTCATGCTTTTATTACTAAAATAATCAATAACTCCTCTAAAAAGAAATCTGCTGAAGGACTTTTAACTGTAAAAGATAGTTTTAGAAGTGCTTAACAACATTCATACTACTCAATAAGGATTTCCTTAAATTATGAATAATGGTGTTTCATAGGATACTCAGGCTCATTTATAGGCTTTTTCTTTTCTTTTTTATTACTCAATAGTCCAAATAGAGATTTATTTCTCCAGTAGTTGAGCACTGAGATTCACATAGCTTAGTTGTTAAGTATATGTGCCTCAAACATAGTAGATGATCAAATAATGCCAGAGGATTGGCTACTGCTTAGTAGTGACCATGGAAGATCTGTGCACAACAGATTCCACTGAGCCCAGATCAGCTCTAGTAGGAGTAAATTATTCACACTAATTTAGGAAAGGCAAGAACTAACAACAGCTACCACTATGATCTGTGAAATCAAAAATAATGTTAATGTGTAGAAAACACTAACACAAAAGCATTACAGTAAAAACAATTTAAAGTTTGGACAAGAGTTCCAGTGGCTTATAGTACTGTGCTAATGACTAAAGTAATATGCATATATATGTATATATATGTGTACATTGTATATATATATATATATATGCATACATGCAAATATAATTCATGTATGTATATATGTATATATATGTATATAATTCATGTGTATCTATATGCAATTTAGATACACATATGTATATAATTTTGTGTGTATATATAAATATATACACATGTATATGTATTTATATTTCACTCTGTAAACTCTAGACTAAGTTTTCACTTTTTTAAGTCTTAAGAACAGTGAAACTTTACTAAAAAACAAGCTAAAACAAGTTACATTGATAGTGATCTTTCAGCTGACTTGTTTGGAGTGAGTAAATAAAATAGGGACAATACTAGGGGTTCAGTTAATCCTTTTAGACTATTAATGCTAAAAGCAGCTCTCAAGGTCACTGAGTTTAACTTCCACACTTTAAAATGAGAAGAGAGAAACAAGCGAAGAGAAATCACTTTCCTAATATTCACATTAATAAGGCTGAGATTAAAAGACAAATGGCCAAACACTCTGCTCTGCTTTCACAAGCCAGAAAATACCCTCAAAGAAATTTGCCATTATCTCACTCTATTAGCACCATTAGGATAAACTTCCTATCAAACTGAACCAAGTGTGGAGCCACGTGTAAACTCAGAGTGGCCGACATAAGCAAGTTACAATAGAGAGGGAAGATGGAATGATAAACATGGGCTGACCTACAGATAGTCAGAAGTTTACTATAATAAAAAATTACATTTTTCAAGTTGAAAAATATGCCATCATTTACCTGAGATAGAGGGCACATGGGGATATAATGGGAGAAAATGCAGGCAATTATAAATCAATTATAAGAATCTTTAAATCAATTATTATAAGAATAATTTTTAGTAATACTGCTTTGAATTGTCCAAGGGGGTGTCAGTCTTACTATGATGACTTGTGGTACAGCAGAATGAGCAAAAGAGTTCCTTATCCAGCTAAAGTATATTCAGACCCTGATTATCTTTTTAATAGATGAGTAATAATAAAAGGAGAAGAAAACTATACTTGGAAACTCATAATGACCCTATTAACAGATGACTTATCTTCACGGGGTATTTCAAACCATAGGCAAAGGCAGCCCTATAATGTTAACGAGGAGAGAGAGAGAGAGAGAGAGAGAGAGAGAGAGAGAGAGAGAGAGAGAGAGAGAACATGTAAGAACAGTAATAGAGAAGATGCAGAAGAAAAAATTCACATCATCCAAGTCTTTACCTGCAAAGAACATAGTGACATTGAATACTGGTAACAGACTGGTGGCATGATCATTCTAAATCTTAGTATTGCCTGAGGAAACACAACCAGTCTCCCTGAATTTAACCCTATGGTGAGGCTTCCATAGAATTGTTTTCTGTCCATGAAACAATACATTGGGTATCAAGAAGGTTTATTCCTTCCTTCCTGGGGTACCCAGGGCTCTGTTTACCCCTTTCATTGTCCCTTTCATACATTTTTCAAAGATGAATAGGAGAGACCCTGCTCTCCACTTCTAGACCACCTGGAACTTTTCTTCACTGGCATGGCCACCTGCAGCTGCTTCCAGAACCTGCCCTGTGGATACTTGGATTTTTCCCCTTTCCATTTAATGACCGTGAGCACCGTCTTAGCCCTCTTCAGCTCTTTCACCTTCGTCTCCTTTACAGCTTTGTACTGTACTAAAATGACGTTGATGTTTCCCCGAGAGGCCATGTTTTCTAGGCCAGCCTTGAGCTCCAGGAGGGCTTGGGTTCCCTGGAGCACGTAGTTGGGGCTTAGGACAACCAGGAGGCGTCTGCTTTTCTGAATGAAGCTCAAGGTCTCATCTGTGACAACTGGGAAAGAAAACACCATGGGGATTAGTGTTGGCCAAGAACTCCCCAAAAAGCATGGGGATTGAGGAGCAAGTGTTGGAAACCTAGGGATTCAGTCTGATAGTTGAGGTGAAACTTCTGACCAAGAATACTTTGAACAATCTCATCCTTAGATCCTTTCACACTTCTCACTAAATGCCACTCTCCTCAGGAAGAATAGAAACTATATGCACATTCCAACCCAAAAAAGAATTCCACAGAGGACTGAAGCAAAACATGCTTCCATGACATTGGTCTTTAAAAGCGTGAGTTGGGACATCAAGGAATATAAGTGTGGTACTGAAATAAATTTTTTTAAAACCACATGGTATGTTGGGTCCCATCCAAAGCAGCTCCTAAGCCTTCTCCCCACAAATACCCATGTATCAACTCCCCAGGGCCTATGAGCATTTATTAATATATATTACCAAAGAGTAAAAAAATCTTAGAAATTCATTTTCACAGATACAGAACAGCAAGAGCAAGAATCTTCATTTTTTTTTAAAGTCCTTCTCTATTACCAAACACGCCCCAACTAGAATGTCATTCGAATAAGAACTTTAAAAAACATCTAGCCAATGAAATGGCATTTTGGCTGGCATCATATCCTCAGCTCAGCTTTCTATTCTACTCTCTGCTCAGGGGCTAAATTAATCCCTGGATTTTTCTGCTTAAACTCCTATCATTACGAGGAAGCCATGTGTTTCAGCAGCTGCTGGCTGATCTGTCTGCCCTCACTATCAGGCAAATGCTTTCTTCAGGTCAGAAAAGAAGGGAGAGCAAGAAAATGTAAATGCACCTTTAATTTTATTTTGTTGTCAGGGACTTTGAGTAGTTTCTGCCACTAAATTCTTGGGAATAATCCATCTTGAGCTTGCTTACCAAGGACGGTATTACTCTTTACCTGGAGTTTAGATAGGAGTTAACTCCAGGGAAGGCACTAGTGTTGTGGAAAACTATTTCATGACTTACCATACTTTCCTAAGCCATCATTTTATTCCTTAATCTTCATAGAAAAAGAGGCAGTATGGGGAAACTTTCTATTAAAATAGCATGAGCAGCCTGGACGTGAATCCAGGAATAAGAAATTGTCTACTCCAAGTAGTGTTGCTGGAGGCTGACCATGTGTAGGCATGGAAAGAGACCCACAGGCAAAGAGGTCTCAATAAGAAGAGCAGGGAAAACATGAATGATCACAAGGATCAACCATCAAAGCAGGATGTAAGAGTAATTATGTAGAACTTGAATTCTTCAAAGAATTATCAACCCCTATTGGAGGGTCTTGCATTGGTGTTATAGTGTGAATCTTTATATAATCTTTTTTACACAATAGATCAATATTTATTGAACAGCTGTATAAATGAACAAGTGGATGAATAAATTATTTAGAATTTTAAGCTTTAAAATGAGTGGAATTTATCCTGTAACTATATAATCAAGCCCTGATTTCCTGGCAAAATTATACTAAAAAAGATGTCCACTGCAGAACACAAGCAAGATGGACTTTTGGATGATGACTGGGGAGGTAAGTAATCCAGCTATTTCAACATGAGAATAAACCAGTGTATTCTGTAGGAGGCTTAAATTGAGGCTATTCACTATTATTCATGTGACATTATGAATAATTAAAAAAAAACATGTGAGGTGATTAGTGATTAATGCAAACAGTATTTTAGGGGGAGAAAATTAGTTTGTTGTGCTGAAGGTTAGAGACATTGCATACATTTTAACAGTACAAAGATTAATAGTGGGATGCCATTATGTATTTATAAAACAGACTCAAATGAACCATCACCTTATATGTTACTGGGTGGACCTGAAAATTAGAGACATACTTTTATGTTAAAACATTCAGCAATTGAAGTGTCTTTCTTTTTAACCTACTAGAATACACCAGACTTTTGTAAAATTTTAAACTATATCTGAAACATGTAAGCTGGTGGAAAGGAAGAAACTGACCCAAGGAAAAGGAGAATTTGAGTGGCTTTGATTTGCTGGAAAACAAAAGTGAGGAAAGGGAAATTAGCAAGTGCCAAAGGGAAATATTCTAATTATTATCAGTGAGAAATATAAAGAAAACTTCCATGCACTCTATTCTGAAACTCATTTTTTGTAAAATTGGGTAAACCTCAGTCTTTGTAAAATTGTTTAAACTCAATCTTTGTAGAAAAATTCTGGGAAAATTTAATGCAGATTAGCTAAACCTTCTAAAAATCTAAATGTGAGTAAAAAGGATGTTTAAATCTATGGCATTTTATAGAGCTCTAATCCACTGTGCATCCAAACTTTTCTGAAATTAAGTTTTTAAAACTTAGAAGAGGGAATATTGTATACCATAAACTACATTTGAATAGTCTACACCTTACGATGAAGTTTATTCCTATAGATTCTCTGTCTATTGTATGACACGATTGGACATTAAAAGTCCAAACTGCCAACATAGAGTTCATAGTGTCAAAATTCTCACCCATACTCTACAGCTAATGATCCCCTTTGCCTTGCAGGGTAGCATCACTTGTACTCATCTGAATACCTACTTCCCCCAGGCAGACTGTCTCTGTCAAAGATGCACAGCTTATATCCAAATTCATTCTCTAAAACTCCACGGAGGGTCAGCAATACAAATTCTTCTTCTTCAGCATTCCTTGCATAGGATACATAAATATCATATTCCTTCCCATCTAGAAAAAAGAACATGGATCCAATAAAAATTAGGAAAGTTTTCTTAAATCAAACTTTTTCAAATTAGACATTCTCATTTTTTATAAGTATGAATTATCTGACAAATTTCAGTGTGATTTTTCAGGTAAAATGGCTATTTTAAGGTGTAATTACAAGTTTTATCTGATGTGTCTTCTACTCTCCACTTACTGAGTTCAGTTTCTATGGTGGACAATCAATGAGGCTTGGCTCATTCAATTATGACTTAACAGAACCAGGAAGTAAATAGTCAATCATAGGTGCTGGCAATTAATACCATGCAGAACATGTCTACTGTACTATTATGTCACTCACTAGTATGTTAGAATTATAAATTCAGCAAACCTTTTAGAAATGATCTAATTATACCTGAAAATAACTGTAATTAAAAATGTGTGTAGATTCAATAAACCAACCTTTCCCAATGTTGCCTAATTATAAAAATCATCTCTCATTGAAAACATAGGTTCTGTGACCTCGCCACAAACCTACTGTCACCAGGAAATTACACATTAGAACAGTACTGCTTGAACTTCAACAAGTACATGAACTTAGGAATATTGTTAAAATATAGATTCTAATTCAGAGTAAGGGTTTGGTTTAAGATACTGCTTTCAATAAGTTCCCATGTGATTCTGATGCTTTTGGTGCATGAATCAGCCCTGAGAACAGAGTGGAGACCTGCACTATCCAGGACAGTTGCCACAACCAAAGCAGATATTGAGAACTTGAAATGAAGCTGGTCTGAACTGAGATACACTGTAAGGGTAAGATTCAATACATACTGAAGTTTGAAGATTTTTAGTACCTAAAATATCTCTATTAACTTAATATTAATTACAAGCTAAAATGTTAATCTCCAGTAGGTGGCGTGCAGGAAGCAGCTGATCCACGATTCTCTCTTAATCTCATCATTGATGTTTCTGTGTCTCTCTCTCCCTTCCTCTCTGTAAAAAATCAATAAAATATATTTTTTAAAAAAGATACATTATTAAAATCTTCACTTTCCTTTTCCTAATATGACAACTAAAAAATTTCAATGACATTTGTGACTTGAATTATAGTTCTATGTGGACAGTGCCAATCTAGACTATGTTCCATATTGAAAAATTAATAATATGTTTTAGAAAAAGTAGTAAGGGCTGAAAAAAAGGTAGTCTGATTTAATGTTCCAGGAAAATCTAGATATTATAGAGCCAACATGTTTTGTAAAGATGACACTAGAAGAGATTTACATCAAACTCCCATTACTCACCTAAAATGGTTTCATCTGTTCCAAAATGGGCTCGGTAAAATAGGACCATCTCCAGCCAGTAAACATGGTAAACAACGATGAGAATCACCACGAGCAGAACTGTGACTCCAAAACCACAGGCCAGTTCCACCGTGTATCTTGGAGCAATCACTGGAGTAAACAACAAAGAAACAGTTATGTTACATGGTGATCAGAGCAACCCATCATCCTGCAAACAGTTGGATAAGCCAAGCAGCTGAGCCAGGCACCTGATTTGTGTGTGTGTATGACAAGCAGAGATAAGATGGTAGGTGTCAGCCACTATGTTTTAATACTAGATATGTAATATTTCTCTTTTTGTTTCCAGTTATTGGCATAGAATGCATTTTTAACCATTAGATGATTCCAATAGACTGATGATATACAAATTAAAACAGAATCTTTGCATTGGGAAGGGTTTAGACGTTCATCTAATTCAATTTACAATTGGATGCCTGACTCTCCTCAAAAATATTTTTGAAAATGTGTTTTTATTTATTTTTAGAGAGAGAGAGGAAGGGAGAGGGGCAGAGATAGCAACATCTATGAGAGAGAAACATCGATAGGCTGCCTCCTACACGCCCCCTTTTGGGGATTGAGCCCACAACAAGGAATTTGAATTAGTGACCTCTTGGTTCATGAGTCGATGCTCAACCACTGAGCCACACCAGCCAGGCTCAAAAATATTTTTGGAAAGTGCAATTCCATCCTCTGCTTTTTCCTTCTCTTAGGATAAAAATATTTATTACTACCTGGATCAGCCCATGATACTGGTAGAGTTTTAATTGTTGGAGCAGTTAAATGGAACAAAATCTTCATGTGTTTCCTTCCATTTGTCTTAATTTTATCTTCTTGTCCAAAGCCATATGGAAGAAATTTAATTCCCTCTCCTTTATATTTGGAAATAGGCCTCAAAAATTTTATTTTCAGTGGGCAGAAACAGAGGGTATCCACCAAATGCTCAGTCAGTGTGTGTGTGGCTCTGAAAGTATCTCTTAGGTCTACAGTTCTAGGATACACAGTCCAAAGACTGACTTGCAATATCGAGGTATGGGCAGATTTTTTTAAAATATATTTTTTATTGATTTCAGAGAGGAAGGGAGAGGGCGAGAGAGATAGAAAATCAATGATGAGAGAGAATCATTGCTTGGCTGCCTCCTGCATGCCCCCTACTGGGGATCGAGCCTGCAACCTGGGCATGTGCCCTTGACTGGAATCAAACCTGGGACCCTTCAGTACACAGGCCAATGCTCTATCCACTGGGCCAAGCCAGCTAGGACAGGACAGATTTTATTATATTGCAATTTGTGTACAAGCTTGCTTTTCCACTCTCCCCCAGTCCCCACTAAACTACATATTTATAGTCATCTAGGTACAACTTCACAATAGTGTTGCACAAAGGTCTCTGGAATTTGGAGTCAAGTAGCCTCAATAATTCCAACTGTGAACAAAATTCTATTATATCTTGTCTCAGCAAACATCACTTAAAATGTTTAATTGCTCAAAGACGACTGATCTCACCATCCTGCTTAATAAACCTCTCCTTCTCAGCTGGATTTATTGAGGCTCCCTGACTCCAAATTCCAGATATCTTTGCACAATACTACCGGAAGTTCAATTAGTGGTCATATACTTGTGGAAAGGTCTCTTTTAAAATAGGTATCTTATCTTAAGGGGAAATGGAAAGCAGCCTGGAGCTCAGCCTAAAGTTCTCTAATTAAAGGGCAAGTCATAGTTTTAAGTTCATTATCCTAAACTCAGCATACTAATCTTGTGGCAAGTATAGCCTGGGACTCAGCAGTGCAGAATTATTATGGAGTTCGTTTGTATGCGTTCCATGAATAATGGTGCTTTAAAATAAGAAAACTCCATTATAAATGCCAGATGCTATGTCAGTGCAGTTGTTGAGAATTTACTAAGTTCAGTTTGGATAGCTGGCATGAAAATTGCTGTGTCCTAGGTATTTCTGAGTACATGTTAGGTTAACAGCACACCGGGGTAATTCTCACTGTCATCTTCATTATTTGCTCAGTTATTTGGCTGCCTCTGGGTTGACATTTTATAATAGGAAGAAAAAAAAAGAGGTCAGTGGATGCAGTTACCTGAAACGGTTTTTTTCAAACATTAATAGATATCGACCCTGGCTGGGTAGCTTAGTTGGTTAGAGTGTTGTCTGGATATTCCAAGGTTGAGGGTTCAATTCCAGGTCAGGGTCCATACAAGAATTAACCAATGAATACACCAATAAGTGGAAAAACAAATTCATGTTTCTCTTTCTCTTCCTCTCTCTCTCTCTCTCTCTTTCCCAAATCAATCAATAATTTTAAAAAATTAAATATCAATAGATACCTTGCTTAATGATCAAGAGTTCAAGTACCCTCATACATTTCCCTCTGCTATCTTCACTTTGTTACTGCCTATTTTATTTCTAGTAGGGCCTTTTAATTTTACTTTGTATCATACAATTACATGTGCTGTATGTACAGATTGTATTTTGTAGTGTCATTTGATGATATTAGGAAGTTCTTAATGCTATTTAACTAACTGGATTCTTAAAATAAATAATCCATAGCCTAAATTACTAAGTGGATTAAATCACATGAAGAAAGTGTTCTAAAAAAGTTCCCCCTAAAGCTTTGCTGGCTTGCAGGGATGGGTGATCCTCAGCCCACATTTCCTGTCTGCCCCAGATGTACTGTTTGATGCTTTGGCATAAAGATTTTACTCTGATGCAATCTCAGACTAAAGGATTTCCAATTAGGAAGGAGTGATGCATTTTGATCAGATTGGGCTCTGAAACTGCATGTTCAGGATGTTGAACATGCAGGCCTGGGTCCTGAAGGAAAGAAAACTGTAGAAACAGAGCTTTAGAAATCCATAAGCTTTTGGAAAAAATACAAAGTTTTGCATATTAAGGGTGACTCCTTCCCAAGGTCAGACAAAGAATAGCTATCAGTGAAGGGGAAATGATCAGGGAAGATACAGCTATTAGAGAGCTGGGAACTGAACAATTCTAGGAGCACATGCAGGGGTGGGACACATTTGAGTTAAGAACACTCCGTATTAAGTAGAAATCTCAGGTTAATAGATCCAATGCTGCCTCAGAGAAAAGGCTATTTTAGATCTACTCTAGCAATGATAAGCAAGATGCTTCAGAAAATAAGTAAGCTGTTATATAAGTAAATTAACCAACTACTAGAACAAAACACAAATTCAGACACTCAATAATGTAATATGTATAATGTCCAATATACATTTAAAAATAGTCTAGGCAGAATAAAAAAAAAGAAAGAAAAAAGACCCATAATTAGAAAAAAATAGCCAATATAAACAGAACCAGAATTGATAAAGCTGATGGAACTAGCAGATAAATGCTTCAAGATTAGTATTGTAACAATAGAGGTGATAAGCACAGAGGGAGTTATTGCAGCTTCCCCCCC